ATCCCATGAAACCCAAGTCGGCTTGCTTTCTCCTTGCTTGCAGCCCCACCAAAATTTCCTGATGATGGATTTGATATGGTCGTATAAGCCTCTTGGGAGTTTAAAACATGACATCGAGAACACCGGGATAGCTTGGGCTACAAATTTAATTAACACATCTTTTCCACCCGCTGATAGGCACTTGCTCATCCATCCCTTTACCTTGTCCCAAACTCTGTCACTCAAATATTTGAAAGTACCCTTCTTTGAATGACCTACGTCCGTTGGCATACCCAAATATCTATCGCTTAAAGATTCATTAGGAACCTGCAAGTGGCCTTTCACCGCAACACGTACTATTTTTGGGCAGCCCTTGCTAAAGAAAATTGAAGATTTATCCTTGTTTATCCGCTGACCAGATGCCAAACAATATTTGTCCAACAGGTTTGATACTGCTTCTACTCCATCAACACTTGCCCTGAAAAACAGCAGGCTATCATCCGTGAATAAAAGGTGGTTCACCGCCGGTGCCGACGGTGCCACCTTAATGCTGCTGAGCTGGGATGATTGGTTCTGGGATTTTAAGAGGCACGAAAGGCCCTCTGCTACTAACAAGAAAAGGTATGGAGAGATTGGATCTCCCTGTCGAATTCCTCTTGTAGGATGAAAAACTTCTGACTTCACACCATTCAACATTACTGAAAACGTTACTGAGCTCACCATGTTCATCACAACGGACACCCATGGTGCCGCAAAACCCAACTTCTCCATAATCGATCTCAGATAGGTCCACTCCACACGATCGTATGCCTTCATCATATCAAGTTTCAGAGCTACAAAACTGTTATTCTTTGACCTGTTCCTCTTCATAAAATGTAAGCATTCGTAAGCCGAGATTATGTTATCAGTTATAAGCCTTCCCGGTACAAACGCCGACTGTTCCTCCAATATGATCTCCAGAAGAATTAGCTTGAGACGATCTGCTAGCACTTTCGAAGCGATCTTGTAAAACACGTTACATAAGCTTATAGGCCGGAACTGAGTTAGCAAGGTTGGATTAGATACCTTTGGAATAAGGACCAGGAGGGGATCGTTCAAGCATGCAGGGCTCTCCTCGCCCCTAACAATGGCCAGCACTGCCCTCGTAACTGCTTCTCCACATACATCCCAGTGTTCCTGAAAAAAATGAGCTGGAAACCCGTCTGGACCAGGAGCTTTCGTGGGAAACATCTGAAAGAGAGCGCTCTTGACCTCCTTCGCCTCGTACGGAGCCAACAATGCTGCATTCATCTCTGCAGTAACCTTCGTAGGCACGTGTTGAAGAACGTCCTGCATCCCCTCAACTCCCTCTGAAGTGTACAGTTGTTTGTAAAAGTCCAAAGCCATCTGCTGCATCTCCGTTAGTTCCGTGGTCACTTCTCCATCTGGTTTTTGCAAGGCCTTTATCAGGTTCTTCCTTCTAAGCATGGAAGCTCGCATGTGGAAGAAACGAGAGTTACGATCCCCCTCAGATAGACATTGAACCCGAGATCGCTGTCTCCACATCAATTCTTCTCGCAGATATAGCTCAATTAACCGGTCGTTGATTTTGATCTCTGCATGGGAAGGTCTAACCCTCATGACATCACTCCGAAGGCGATCTAGCTCTTTCTTTAGGCTTCGTATTTCTCCTCGGACATTACCGAAGGTTGATCTTGACCAGTCGCCAAGGTTATTTGCTAGGGCCTCAAGATTTGTGTGAACTTCACCCGCCGTTAGATTATGACCGTTGCGCTCCCAGGATGCAGCCACCGTGGGTTTCAACTCTGGGTGAGTGTCCCACATCACCTCGTACCTGAATTGCTTCGCTTTCTTCGGTCCTCCACTCGGTTGGGTTAGCTGTAGCAAGATGGCCGAATGATCCGAGGTCACTGATATGATATGTTGTACAGCCGCCAGTGGGAACAATCCACACCAGTCCACCGAGCCCAAAGCCCTGTCCAGCCTGCCTCGTGTGTACGAGCCACCTGTTACTTTTTTCTCATATGTCCACTTTATGCCTTTGTATCCAAGGTCAAGTAGACCACAAACATCAACCGCATCTCTGAAGCCCTGAATCTGTGATTGACTCCTCGACCCAATGCCATCAGGTTCATCATGCTTCAATACCTCATTGAAATCACCAATGCACACCCACGGCAAATCTTGGAGAGTGGACAAATTTTTCATCGTGTTCCATGTATGATAGCGAAGATGGGTCTGAGCTTCACCATAGAAACAAGAGAGCCTCCAAGGTTGATCTCCTACACCTAGAACCTTGCCATCAATGTGGTACTTAGAGTAACCCAAAATCTCGACTTTTATTTCATTATTCCAAAAAAAACCAAACCTCCACTCCTACCGGAGGCATCAACAGCAAAAGAACAATCATGACGTAAAGAACTTTTTAATTTTTTCAGCTCTCTCCCCACTGATTTGGGTTTCAACTATACAAAGCACTCTAGGGGCAAACTTATTCGCGAGTTCACGCAGCTCTTGAACTGTCGGGTCGTTGCCAATCCCCCGGCAGTTCCAGCATAGAAGATTCATTGCGTCCGGCGGTCCTCCGTCGCGGAGGCTGTCGATCTCGCGTCCGAGCTCTTTCCCCCATTGGGGTTCTTCTTCACCATACTAGTTGTCCCATCCTTGTCACCTGAACTTGCTGTCTTCACCGACTGACCCATGAGTTTTGTTTCTTGCTTCGGTGGTGGGCTGATTGGCACCGTACTCCCACTGGGCTTCGACACCGGTACCAGTTCCAGCCCCGTCAGTTTGGCGTTCGGGGAACCAGTAACCTAGTCGGATGAGCGCTTCTTGTTGTTGTCCAACTCCATCCCTTCAGCTGCTTCTGCTTCCCGGCTTGTCGCTGGATTATGCACCACATGCTCCTCCTTCTTTTGGTTTTGATAGCTATTCTGCTGGTTCCTGTTTCGGCACCGGGTTCCCCAGGCAGTGGTCGCTGGATCCCTGAGATTTTTGAACACAAGAGCAGAAGGGGGATGCACCCCGTCGCCATGTTCTTTGAACTCGTGCCCCATCATGCCGCATACCTGACACCAGTCTGGCAATCGCTCGTACTTCACCGCAAAAATTTCCCTCTCTCCTCCCCGAATCAAGGATATAGCCTTCTTCAGTGGATGACGAACGTCCAATCTGACTCTGACTCTGTAGAAATTCCCTTCAAAATCAAAGGAGGAAGGCTCGGAGTCGACGAACTCCCCAATCTTTGATGCAAGCGCCTGAACCTTCCCATGGTAAGCGATTGAAAGCTCGATGATCCTTGCCCATATCTCGAAAGTCCACAGCTCAACCGAAGATGGTTTTGTATATCCATCATACGGGGCGATGAGGACTGGATTCCCCCTGAAGTGCCATGGACCACCCTGGGTTACTCGCTCCCAGTCCCCTAAGCAATCAAACTGCATCTGAAAAAGATTTTCCTCCAGAGTTTTAATCTTGACTGGCCTGGCAAGATCCCATGCTGATTTCATGTTGCGAAAAAACCAATAGGTGCTGAAACCCTTGTCCATATGTACTCGAGCTAAGATCATCCAGCGGAGCGCCTCCTCTACTGGGGCATCGTCATCCTCGAAGATCACATCATCTAGATCGTCTTCCTTGAGGGCCAGCTCTTTCATCATCTCTTCCAAATTGCCCTTGCCCTTACGGTCATCCGCCGATGACTTTCCCTTGCCTGCCATCGCGATCAGACCCGTAGACAAGCCGATCTTCTCGAGACCAGAAAAACCCTAGCGCCCCGACGATGCGAGACCAGCCCTCGAACCTTGGCAGCACAGGACTGCCCCGGACCCGGCGGTGCAGGCCCCAATCCACCGGCGCGAGGGACGGTAAACCTCAACGTCGCCAGTGGCGGCAAGAGAAGCGAAACCCTAACGTGAGGAAAAACACGGAGAACCAAGAGTGGGATTGAGTGTACGAATAATTTGGAATAACAACCATTCGATGAAGCCTAGGCATCACTTGGGCTGCATTTCCCTAAAAAAACAAAACTTAGGCTGCAGAGCCTAAATATTTCGAGGCTCATATCGCCTGGCCTGCGCAACAACTGTTCGCTGCTTCTGACGTGCATGCAACATTGAAAACATGGGCAATATTTTTCAGACATAATTAGCGAAGGACGAAGCTGCAAATGACGTGACATTTTCTGTCCATAGAATGAGAATAATCACGAGCGCTTATTTAATGGCAATCAATATGTAGCGTTTTGGACTGAGCCCTCTTGGACTTCCGGAGCTGTACCTAGCGATTGCATTAACGTTGAAGTCATATTCAACGAAAGCAAATCTGCCAAGTTAAGTTGCCGTCAATCACGAGTCAAGTAGGGAAAGAGACTTCTTAACAGTATCCTCCAATGTGTATTAGAGGGCGCAAATGATTTTCTTCTAAAAGTTGCCCGAGAGGGAGCTAATTAATACTTCCTCCGTCACAAAATAATATAGTATATTTTAGATATTTCAATATTTACTACATACAGACTAAATTGAGTGAACAAACACACTAAAACATGTTTATATACATCTGACTCATACAAAAGTTAGAACATCTCATATTTGTGAACGGATGGAGTATTTTTCAAAAAAATTACGATGACCTTTAATATATTAATAATATGGATAAGATACAGATTACACGCGGACTAAGGCCCTGTTCGATAACCCTCCGCTCCACAACTCCGGGAGCGGAGTTGGTGGAGCTGCTGCACAAATCGAAGGAGTTGCGGTTTTCCCGCTCCGCAGATTCCCGGAGCGGCTGATTACCGAACAGGCCTTAAGTTTCTAAATATTGTTTCAGAGTAAACAAGTCCTACTTGCGATGATCTTTATTCCAAAAATCATTACAAGCTAGATTATTCTTCTGTTTACTCTTTGTGAAATTAAAAAAGGAAAAAAGAAAAGAAAAAGAAACATAAATATGCCCACCACAAGTCTTGCAAGTCATCTTATTCGATGCTCTTTGTTGGGCGCCATAATTAAGCCGATTTCTCAATCAGCTCGTGGAATCCTGAAAAGGGACTAAGCATTTTTATCTGTTCACTTTTTGGAAAACAAATTATGAACACGATTATTGAAGCATCTGGCATGAACAAAGTTTGGAGCGCGCATGTTTTCTCGAGGTACGTACCGATAGCAGTCGAAGTCGTGGGTGGTCGGGAGGAAGGAGATACGGACGCCGCACCTGGCGGGCAGCGTGGCGGCGCGGCGGGTGAGCACCTTGCCGGCGGCGAGCATCTCCTTGTGGATGCACGCGCAGAGGGCGCGCCGCCGGTCAAAGGTCGGCGCCATGTCCCTGATGTCGGCGAGCCCCCTGCAGCAGCGCGGCGAGAGCTTGTCCTCCACGCCGGCGATGTACCCGGTGCAGTCGCCGAACGCCGTCTGTGCGACGGCGCAGTCGTTGTCTGCCGGCCCCGCTTTGACGCCGCGCAGGCCGCCGAGCATGAAGAGTAGCGAGGCGGCGGCGGCCAGCGCTGCGAGGTAGCGGGTAGGCGTCATGGTGGTTGCGCTGCACTTGTAGGATACGACTACGACTACGAGACCGACTACGAGTGCGTGTCGACGTGCGCACGGTATTTATAGGGAATGTTCTCGGGCGGAGATGGGAACGTTTATCTTCTGCTGGATCGGCGCGACGAGTGGCATTGGATATTATGGAATTTCGGCAATTTTCTTCTTCGCTTGGAACGCCAAGATTTCACAGTATCCTTTCTCAGTTTCTCTCTTCGAAAAGGCGCAATATATTAAGAGTGAATTTCATTTATTAGCTTCTAATTTCAGGTCTGTGTCGGCAATTACCCATTTAGTAGTTTTGCACATTTACCCCATTTAAACAAACTTGTGACATTATTTTTTTTTTCTGCAAAACTTTCGATCTATTCAGTTTCAATCATGACAATACAAAGAATTTCAGAAATAATAAAAGTTACATCCAGATCTATAGGCTACCTAGCGATGATTACAAGCATTGAAACGAGCTGCCATCATCGCCCTTTCCTCGTCGGAGCCAGGTAAAACTTGTTGTCGTAGACAATCGGGAAGTCGTTGTGCTAAGGCCCCATAGGACCAGCGCACCGGAATAGCAACCGCCGCTCATGAAGAGGTGCGTAGGTCGAAAGGATCTAACCTGAAGACACGTGAACGTAGACGAGTGAAGATCAGATCCAGGTAGATCCACCAAAGACAACGATCGAAAAGAATCCTACAAGATCCGTCGGAGAAATACCTTCACACACGCCCTCCACGATGCTAGACGCAACATCGGGACGAGGACGCTAGGCAGGGAGAACCGCATTCCATCTTCTGACGAGTCGCCGCCGTCTCACCATCCCAGGACACAACCCTAACAAAACTCAAAGAAACCCACTACGGCCCCATGGACCTAAGGCCACTCGAGACGAGGCGGACGGGTGGCGACAATGGAAGGTGGAGGAACCCTAAGCTTTTGTGGAGAGGAGGCAGCCGCTACATGTGGAGGCTACAGCTAACATGTGCCATTAGTTGCCCCATTTATTTATTTTGATTTTCAATGTTTACTGTGTATGCCCCGTTGACCGGTTTATTTTATTATTTGATTATTTTTTATTTCTGCTCTTGTTTTGGCAAGGATGGGTCCTACCTGTCAGTGAGCGAGATAAAAAAGAGTGAAAGAAATACTCAAGGCCTAGCATTCAAACATAAGACCTCCTACACCTGGTCAAGTCGCAGACGCCACTATTACGAACGAACATTCGTGTGTTTTGAAATAGGCTGCATCCTATAGATTTTTTTTCTTTTTTTACTCAATTTGTATTTTTTATTTTTGCGTGTTTTCAGTTTTTCTATTTTTATGATTTCTTTTTTGTCATATAAATGACGACTTTTTAATTACATGTTGGACATTTTAGGTATACAGGTTGAACATTTAATCTAATACATGTTTTTTTATCTAATCTGAATACATGTTGAGCATTGGTTTTAATAAAGAAGGAACATTTTTAAACACACGACATCGAATACATGGAAACATTTTGATTACGTGTTACAACATTTTTCTAAATGATGCAAACATTTTTGTATATTACAATCTTTTCTAAAATTGAGATAATTAAATTTGATATTCCCTGAAAGAAAAGTCAAGAAAAAATTTGAAAACATTTTTTACGTGTTACAACACTATTATAAATGGTAAAAACATTTTTGATTTTTTCTAAAAGTGAGCGAACAAATTTAGATATTCAATGAACATTTCTTTAAATGTCATGAAACATATTTTTAAATATACAAACATTTTTTTGTGTGCTACAACATTTTTCTAAATGGCATAAATTTTTTTAAGGGTAATGATTTTTCTAAAATTGGGAACGAAATGTTTATGCCAATTCATTCCATAAACATTTTAAACTATGTTATGAATTTTATAAAATTGGGAACAAATTTTTTATGCCATTTCATTCGATAAACATTTTTTAAGTGTCATGAAAAATATTTTTAACATGTGGACATTCTATAAATGTTATGAACAATTTTGATTGCATGGATATTTTTTTCCAAATTAACCAAGCATTAAATTTTACATTGTCATGAACACTTTCGATAAAATGTAATGATCATGTTTTTTAACATGTGCACTTTTTAAAATTTGACACCATTTTGTGAATGGAATGAACAGTTTCTTAAATTGCACGAACAAGGTTTTACATTTCATGAGCATTTTCTTAATGTAGAGTGAGCATTTTTATAATTCATGTAAATTATTTTTTGAAATATATGTTCATAGTGTTTCAAACTATAAATAATTTTAAAAAGAGAGCAAAAAAAATAAAAGTTACTAAAGAAGGAAACTAACTACTTTTTTTAACACAGTATAGACGCAAGCGCTCATACATACGTGAACACACTCAGCCCCATGAATGCACACACTTACACGCACTCGCTACCCCTATGAGCACCTTCAAGTGACTAAGCCGGCATATCATCTTGAGAAGGCCGAGAAGACGCTGCCCTAGAGGCGAAGCAAGCTACTGCCACACCTAGGGTTATGTGTCGCTTGTAGTGAGAGGTATTACCTCTCCCCTACAGCAACACGGCTACTGTGTGGCCCAAATCCTGTAGCTTCTCAATTTTTTCCTGTAGTTTTTTTTAGTTTTTTTTTCAAATTTTTTTGCATCGATTTCTCAGGTTTTTTTTCCTACTGTTTTCTTTAGGTTTCCTGTTCCATTTTTATTTTTCTTTATTTTCGTTTTTTTGTTTCTTTCTCTGGTTTTCACGTGTTTTCTTCAGATTTTTTCTTTTTTCTTTTTATTTTATAATACTTGTCATTTGTTTCAAATATGTTGTACATTATTATATACATCAAGAAATACTTTATGCATGTATACTAGTTTTCAAAGGCATAATTAACATTTTTTTAAATTATTTCTTGATTTTTATTTGATTATACACATTGTACATTTGTGGTATACATATAAAGATTTTTATAGACGTTTAACATTGTTTAATTACATGATTTTTAAATATTTGTTTTTGAACTTTTCTTAGTATGTGCTCAACATTTTTCAAAAAACATGTTAAAACGATTTTTTAATGATAAACTCATTTTATTCTCGCTATGTGTATATTTGTTTTTTTAACATTGTATTGATTAAGAAAACAAAAACAAAATATTGAAACTCGTGAACATTATTTTATAAATATAACGTACATTTTTTTGAATGGTCCAAAACATTTTTGTTGTACACAAACATTTTTGTACATTGTGTGGACATTTTTTAATGGTGTTTACTTTTTAAATTTTTTCACCATGCTAAATATAATTTATGTAAATATAATTTTTGGGGTATATGAATTTACAATTTTTTTTAGAAAATTGAGAAAAAAGAATGAAAACAAAGAAATCCGAATTAACCTGGATGCCATGGTCCAACTGGAACGCTCGATGTGGGCGAGTGTCTGCTTGGTCTCGTACAACATAGCCGCGCCTCTAGTGTCTCGCTAAAGACATAGGCCTGTTTGTTTGGGCTTTTGCTTCTGCTTTTACAATTTTTCCACTTTGACAAAAAAGCCATAAAAGTTTCTAAATAGGTGCTTTTGAAGCTTTTATAGATTTTGGAGCCAAATATTGTTATATTAATTCATCAAAAGCCATAAAAGCTCCAAAAGCACCTATTTAGGAGCTATTCAAAAGCCATGAAAACTCAAAAAAAAACACCTATTTAGGATATTTTATGGCTTTTTGACCAAAGTGAAAAAGCTGCAAAAATATAAGCAAAAGCGTAAACAAACAGGGCCTTGATCTTGACAAACCTCCCTGCTCGAATTTCTGGTTGAGACCAAGCGGGAGCCGAATCACAGCACTCATAAGTCACACTTTGTAGTAATTTCTGAATTCTTGTTTTACGGCATAACGTTGTAAGTAGAAATCCACGAAACCAAACGTTAAGTTTCTTTTTCAAACCCACAATGAATGTGAAGCCAAAGCGAAAAGGAGATTCTTCTAAACCAAACGTGGGTCATCAATCATCACGAGGCAAAACGAAAAGGAGATATGAAGTTTGCGTCGATTTTTATTGCTGCAGTAACTGAGCAGCAAAACATATTCTTCTGCCCACACTCGTCGCAAAAGAAAGGGAAGGGCAAAATAATCCAAGCCCCGCAAGCTTTTCGTGCCTTCTCTTCGATCGGTTCGGCCGTGATATATATGGTTCCTTCGGGCTCACAGATCCTGCAACGGAATTTTATTTCAGTCAAGAACAGAGTTTGATTCCTTGTTACACTAGGGTGGTATATATTATACAGACGAGCGTACGTACCGGGAGGCGGGAGCAGTTGAAGTAGAAGTTGGTCGGGAGGAAGTCGACGCCAAAGCCGCACGCGGTGCGGAGGAGCTGGCCGCGGCGGGGGATCACCCGGCCGCCGGCGATCATGACCAAGTGCACACACTCGCAGAGCTCCCGCCGCTGGTCCGCGGTGGTCGCAAGTCCTTGATGATGCCGAGCCCCTTGCAGCAGCGGGGAGTGACCTCGGCGCCCTCGAGACCGGCGACGTAGCCGGCTCAGCCGCAGAACGTGAACCGCGTGAGGGACGTAAGTGGCAAATAAATGATGTCCGCAATTCCGTTTAGTTAGTTTTTACTAGTTTGATAGTTCATTTGTCTTAAACAAACAAAAAACCTTTTTGAACTATCATATCATAAATGGATTTTAAACGGGATTAAACGGGACCCGGTTGACATCCCTACGCGCGACGCGTCAGTCAATCGGCGCCCCGAGCAGGGGGAACGCCACGACGGCGGCGGCAGTCGCCGTCGCGAGGTGGCAGGCAGGCGCCATGCGGGGTCGAGTTGCACGCACCTGTGTTGAGGTTGATGGATGGATACAGAGATAGGAGGGAGCGAGTGTGCATGCGTGTGTGTGTGTGTGGCGACGAGACGTGCAAAGTTGGGACACGGGAGTACTGTATTTATAGGTCCAGGGAGATGGGGAACGTTTCTTCTCTGCGTAATAACGTACCCATGGATT